GGACGGACGGACGGACGGACGGACGGACGATCGTGCGATTCTACAAGCTGCATCTGACTATGTCAGATGAGCTAAAAAAGGAAATGAAGAGGGAGAGAGAGCTAGAGTAAGAGGGAGGGAGAAGGAGAGGGAGAGAGAGGGGAAGAGAGAGAGAAAGAGAGAAAGAGAGAGCGAGAGAGAGAGAGGGCATGAGCTATAACCCACCTGTAGTTAACCATCATGCCGCAGGATCGGTTAAAGCCGCGCGCACTCGTGTCTGCCAGCCAGTTGATCCGCCACAGCATCGCACCGTTGCTCAGGTGGAAGTTTGCTGCAACCAGACGTGAGACAAATCGATAATAGCAACGTAATAATTCCCTTATCGCTCGACATATAAAGTGGAGACCTGGATCGGTTCTAGAGGTTGCAGAGCCACTGTAATACCCCATGTAGATTTATTGAACGAATCGATAGCATAAGCGTTCCCTTATCCAAGGCTCGACACTAACTTTTTTTTTCAGTGGCCCGATCGGGCCACCAAAATCATTGATTTTCAATTTTTGGTGGCCCGAAAATGAAATCTGGTGGCCCGAAAAAAACAAAGAAAAACATTATAAATCTTTATTTCAATCTCGTATTGTATATTATTTGAAAATTGGGCCGTCTGATGCACTTGCACAAGTCTTTAAACAAACCCCACAAACCCCACGCTGGCAGTTTCGCTTCGGATCCGAAACAGTGAGCACCAGTGCAGCTAGCTAGCAATCAGGGTGACCAGACGTCCCGTATTTTGCCCATGTGTCCCGCGTCCCGTACCGACCCGCCCGTGTATGCCCGCGGTAGAATGCTGCACGTGCGTACGTGTGCCCTCGTTCCGCGAATTGCTCGCTCTCTTTTGAATGAGATTAGGACGTAAGAAACAATTATTTTTATCACATAGACACTTTGAAATTTTAGTGGCCCGATCGGGCCACCAAATTTTAACTTTTGGAAATTTTGGTGGCCCGACATCAAGGTTTGGTGGCCCCGGGCCACCGGGCCACCGCTAGTGTCGAGCCTTGCCTTATCGCTCGATGTGTAGAGACCTGGAGGTCGCAGATCCATTGTACTCCCCCATGTAGATTTGGTGAGCTTTGTCTTCGATGTCAATAAGCTTTAGATATAGTGACAAACCGTTCCCTTCGTATTACTACTGGGGCCTTACTTAACTTGTGAACACAGGGGCAGCATCTTTGCACCTCTCGACAACAGAGGGCAGCACCATCACACTATCCGGTCGTGCACTGCAGAATTAATGCGGCGGCTACCGCTAAAGGTTTCACCACCATGCGCCAGCAGCGTTGCAGCACGTTGAACACAGGCATCTTAAGGGTTCGCCACTAGAGTGCAGCAGTGTCGCGGGACGCGTCGGACGCTAACGTATCCCGAGGGTTCGCCACCAGGGGGCGGCGACACGGCGACGGAGAGCCGGGGCACGCGTTACGTACCCACGTAGTTGAGCGCGTAGCCACGATGCTTCTCCAGGTAGAGGTAGTGCGCACACAACCTCATCAACATGGCCTGAAACGCGTCCGCTAACTTCTCATCCGCCATCCAGCCTGCGCCGAGCTGTAAGACAGAACACCACCACCCGAGGGCACAGCTCATCAATTTTTCTCTTGCCACTATCTGACCAAGCGTGATATATATATATAAACGGAGTTAATGAAGACAAAGAAGTTTGATTCGTATTTGGTACTGATTTTACTACATTTTTGTCGTACGAGTTCGATGTGAATAAAAATACAAATGTATACAAACATGAGCTTCTTTTGTTCACTGGTCTTTTTTCTATCTTCTGCTAGTATTACAAACCGCGTAGTTTCCTTCGTTTTGACATAAATCATACTTTTGCACGACATGGTTTTCACGTTATTTACCGTCGTGTGGCGTTGCCAAGCCGCAAATTCTCATGCACAGCAACTCGAAGGAGGCGCGGCAGGGAATTTAGGCCGTATAGTCTAGCCGAGTGCAGAAAATGCGCTTAGAAATTAAAACTATTTTACATTTAAACTATAGTTAGAATGACTTGTTTTATGATTAAATACAGCAGTTTTTTTTTAAATAAACGCTGCGCTGGTAAAATATCTGAACTACTTCACCCGCGGAGAAATGATGTGTATGAATCTTAGCGAGTAAATTGACGCTCCAGCTGATTGTAGCTTTTCGCACATGTGTTTTGCATAGCAACCGTTAGCTCTAGTAACTATAGCCCGCGTACAGTTGCCGCTGGCACTGCCTGAGGCAATCCCTGCCGCGCCTCCTTCGAGTTGCTGTGCATGAGAATTTGCGGCTTGGCAACGCCACACGACTCACCCAGTAAATAACGTGAAAACCATGTCGTGCAAAAGTATGATTTAATGTCAAAACGAAGGAAGCTTACGTGATTTGCATACACAGGAAGATAGAATAGGACCAGTGAACAATAAAAGCTCATGTTTGTATACATTTTTTATTTTTATTCACATCGAACTTGTATGACAAAAATGTAGTGAATCAGTACCAAATACGAGTCGAACTCCTTTGTCTTCATTAACTCCTGATATATAAATATATATATAATATTTATAGAGGGGGAGGAGGAGGAGGATGCAGGTTGCACCGGCGTTCGGGTCAGAAATCCATGTCATCTACGGCGTACGGCCGTTGTTGCCACGTTTGTCAAGTTTGTGCACTTTTTTTTAAAAAGAGTTTATAATTGTGACATTTGTGAGCAGAGAATAAAGACGAGTTGAATCAGTCTCAAGGTTACTTAATATAATATAGTAAGTATTATGTACTATAATTAATACAGCACAACATCAAGAGGGGATAAAACTATTTTGTTTTTATCACTTCTGATAATATAATAATCAACTCTCTTAGATTATTATTTGAGATTATTATTTGAATCAATTATTGTAACATCCTCAATTAAATAGCAAAGAATGACAAGTAGTTATGCATGCAATAGTTCAGTCAGTGCTCACCAGGGTGTGTTTATCGTGGTAAGGACACTAGGGGCGTCTGCTGGTATCTGGAAGACGTATGCAATGGTGATCACTTCTCCAGCGCTCAGCGGCAGGAATGCTCAGCTGTCAACAAAAACAAGTAAGCAGTCTTTGAGAATCTAGGAGACTAATATTTTCTTTCTGTCTGATGTCTCTCTCTCTCTCTCTCACGCTCTTACACTCTCGCTCGTTCTTTCTCTCACTCTCTCGTCTCTCTCTCTCTCTCTCTCTCCTCTCTCTCTCTCTCTCTCTCGCTCACACACACACACTCTCTCTCTCTTTTTTCTATCACTCTCCGCTCTCAAATGTCTCTCTTCTCTCCATCTCCCTTCTCTACCATCCCTCTTTGCACTCGTCTACCATCCGCCTCCTCCACTCACTCCAGCCCACCACCCGCACGAGCGCTCATACGGGATGGGATAGGTACATGTTGATCTCTCCCAGTAACCAGCTGCGGAATCCCGGAATCGGGAGAGGCTCGAGAACTGCTGCAGCTGGAGAATTCCTTCAGGATCTCTGTCACTGTTCGCTTGATTAGGTGGTAGCCCAGTTCTATGCCCTGCAGACCTGCCACAGACAACAACAGCCGCACAATCAGCGTCATGACGATGATAACGATAGTACGGTGAAGAGAAGATAATGATATAATGTTGATGATGTGATGATGATGACGACAGTAAAGTGATGATGATGCCGATAGTAAGGTGATGATGATGATTGATGATGATGATGATGATGACCTTGCTGATTAGTAAGTAAGTAATAAAAACTTTATTTAACGACGGTAAAACATGTTAGGTACAGCACCAATAAATTGGCGCCAGACCTATCTTCCACATGGCCGTCTCACAGCAACAGAACGATTAAATATTAAAACAAGTGCCATAGCGACAAGCGCTCATCTAACGTCTACTGCGGTGACTGCTGTGGTGAGTGAAGGGATTCTAGTAAACCCTGTTAGTCCAAATGTGTTCACATACACGCCGAAAGTGGAATGCACAGGGATGGTATCAGGAACCTTCTCAAAAGAATGTTCGTTGGGATCGTTTATGAAAGTTGCCAACAGAGATGGCGCGTACGTTTAAGTGTCTTCAGATTAAAGATGGAAGCTCCCATCATTCGTAAGTAGCAACAATATTTGCAAGACAGAATAGGTAAGCACTCATCCATTTACCTACGCAAGCCTACAGGCTGCAAATTGCAATAGAGAGCTTGCCACCTGCAACCAATTAACGCAGGCAAAAACTGCAGCCACCAGTGGCATACATTACATGTAACATACTGACAGTACAGAATGACATAGAAATTATACGATTTAAGGAACATACACCTCTTAA